ATTTATTGTATTTATTTATTTATTACAGGGACAGTGCATATTAATGAACATTTCTGTAAATATGCCAGAATTAGCCAAGCAGCTATTCTTCATCCAAAGTCCCATGTCTCCTGAAAGATAAAAACATGTTTGCTACACAGACAGTAAAAATAATGTGATCTATTTACATCTAGGCATCTATTTTTCACCTGGATTTCAACATTGTCAGCGAAGAGGCCTGTCTCACATTTTCAGGGAGATTATTCCAGTTTTTAGCGGCATGAATCTGAAACGCTGCCTCCCCATGTTTAGTCCTGACTCTGGGACCAGCAGGAGACCAGTCCCTGTGCTCCTCAGAGTTATAGATGTAGTTTGGTGTGAGGCCGTGGAGAGACACAGGCAGAGCTACACCTACACCCAGAGAACACCCCCGTCCTCAAACCACTCCTCTGGCTCCTGTTCCATCCAGTACAAGGTCCTCCTCCTCTTCACAAGTCGCTGACCTCCTCACTGTAAACCCTAACTTCAATCGTACTTCAGATATCAAGTTATTTTGAATAGATTTTTCCCAGTAAGTAGATATTACTCATTTATTGTTAGTTTATTTAAAGCTTGCCTATGTCACTCAGGGTTTTCTTTGAATTGAACTGTTTCTGTTCAAGTAAGCCTCACTTTTGACATTTTGATGTGTAGAGTCTTTAATGAGGCAGGTGTGACAATGGCAGGGTGTCCTGGTGGCTGAGTGGGTAGCACCATCACCTCTCAACTACAGGGTTCTGAGTATGAATCCCAGTCGGAGCATAAGTAGAAATTTAAACTTTATTGCAATCACTCGAGTTTACTTGGTAATATCAAGTAAAGGATGCACTCGAGGAATTCAAGTTAAGTTAATACGCAATTTATTTCCATGGTTTTTTCAAGTAAACTTTACTTGTCAGGGTTTCTCCACCAACACTGTCCCACGCTCCACCCTCTGAACCCTGAACATATACACTGAAAAAAATAAAATCTTGGTAAAATGTATTTACTAAAAATAACATAAATTAGGCTTAATTTTTTAACGGCAAGTTATTTTTGTTTAAATGTAGTTTCTCATGCAAGATTATTTGACTAGTTTTAAGATACTTCATAATCTTTTTAGCAGCATTGAGCATTGAGTTTTTAAAGCTTGTTTTCAGTCTTATTTTCAGACACATTTTCTTCTTGTTTAGATAAAATAAGTTGTGATGCTATATTTTAAGAAAAAATTTCTCAAGATTTTTTAAGAAATCAGTAAATTATGTAAAGTAAATGTATGTTTTTAAACTAGAATCAAGTAATTTGGGGCCAGTATTATTTTCTTATTTACAAAAATCTTGTCAAGTATATTTTCTCAATCTCTTGTCAGATATTTTTTTCTACATTTAAGCAGTATTTTACTTATTTTCACATATTTTCTTAAGGGATTTTTTTCCAGTGTACATGTTGGATGGATGGAGTGATATTTGATGTTTTAAATGTAATAACATATCCCACTCTCCGGACTGTAAAGCATGTAATGTGAACAACCAGGCGTCTCTCCCGGAGCGCCGGCTTCTGCTCAGGCTTCTCCAGGGCCTGGTGTAGTGCAGTGATAAGCGGCTGTTTACAGAGCTGCATACTGAAGACGTGACGAGTAATAGCTCAATGCTCTCTCCACTGTGCTTTTGTTTTGCTTTTCCTTATTTACATGAGATTATGAAGGTTATGAGACGAGGTGAAAACATCGGCATTAACACCGTGGCGCGTGTGTGTGGAGAAACGAGCTTGTTTCTCTGTTGGCTTTTGAGTTCACAGCTGCTGCTCTGATCTGTCCTCACCCCTCTCTGCAACGTTCCAACACAAAACACTGAGGCCGTGTCCGGGCGAAGAGCTTTGAGACTGTGATACTTACACACGGAGCTGGCTCTGGAGATGTCTCTGTCCACACAAAGAGGAAAACTGATCCAATTTACCAGACAGAAGTGCAATGTATATGCCAGGCCTGATGGTGGTGCTGTGAGGAGAAGCAACACTAAATCAGACAGAGAAATGCACACCACACCTACGGATCTATTGAATCAGGTGTGTCAAACTCATTTTTTTCACACTTCTTCTAAACTAGAGGTGTGAGGGCCGGTGTGGCTGCAGGTTTTCATTCGGTCGCCACTAGATCATTTACGGAATCGCGACGAAACCAGAAAGCAACAATCCTACTTTAAGACTAGTAGTAGTAAGCTTTATTTATATACCGCCTTTCACAGACCAGAGTCACAAAGTGGTTTACAATTGTTATTTTTTGGGCACTTGTCTCTCACTCCACACAGAGATGGGAGCGGGGTCGCCGAACAGGAGGCGCATGCCAGAACTATTGTACATATTTTTAGTGGTAGGGGAAACCGGAGTACCCGGAGGAAACCTACGCAGACACAGGGAGAACATGCAAACTCCACTCAGAAAGGCCCTGGTCCGGCCGGGATTCGAACCCAGGACCTTCTTGCTGAGAGGCGAGAGTGCTATCCACTCAGCCACCGTGCCGCCCTTAAATAAGTCCTTAAATGGTGACTGGTTAAGTTTGACTGTAGTTTGTTCATTGCTGTTCACCCGTTGTCCTATTGTCTGTTTCAAGGCGCGACAACGGGACCTCTGAACTGTCTCTATCCATCGACACCTGCGGACTGCTCTGCCCGACCCGCCTGGGAGTGCTTCAGTCCTGCACCGGACCTGTCCTCGCTCAGCGGCCGCTGGTCCACGTTCTGTAGCTTAGGTCCTGGATCTAAAGCTCGTCCGTCCGGGAGGAGCGGATCCCTTTCTCAATATGGGTCCCCCAGAAGTTTCTCACTTTTTCCCACTGGGTTTTCTTATGAGTTGTTCCTTGCCGATGCAGGAGGGTCTGTTGGACGGTTAGTGTCCAACTAGAACGACTGCGATGATCCTGGACACTTTAACATTCTACAACATGTATGACATTTATCAACATTCATGGACATTGGTCTCCCCCTATGGACCAATACATGTGTTTATATTTTGTGTCTTAACTGTTGATTCTCTGATCTGTGTTGGTGATTTCAATGGTTTTGTTTAGTCTCTGAGATGACTTCTGTCGTGATTTAGGGCTATACAAGAATAAATTGTTGTTGTTTTTGTTGTTAAGTTTAGGCATGAATACGTAGTTGGTTATATATACTTCCGCTTCCGTCCCGATTCCGTGTATGATCTAGTGCTGACCGTTTTCATTCCAACCAAGCTGGAGCACACCGGACTCCACCCATTTCCTCAGGGGAGTCCAGTTTTAACCTGCAGATGTGAGGAAATGGGTGGAGTCTGGTGTGTTTCTGCTCAGGTTGGGACTAAAACCCCCTTTTCTGAAACAAGTTGGACCCCAGCGTGCCGCAGTGCTGATTGGTCAGAATGTTCACGTAGACTATGGGGAATTTATCCGGGTAGCGCTGGTGAATATAGTCTGCAGTAGTTTCAGGTGGTCCACACGATGCTGGAGAATCAAGGCTTAAGCAGAATTACCTTACAGATAACATCATACATCTGTGGTCTAGATGGGGACTGAAATTACTTTGCACGTATAGACAGGTCCGAGAAGGGGAAGACTTGGATCCAGCACGGTTCATTCTGTTTTTGATGTTTCTGAAGAGCTATAATGGCATTTCCAGCTGTACTTGTATGTAAATGTATGACCGGTACAAAAAACAGAAAAAGTAACATATATTTTATTCTTTTAACACTGAGAACAAACTTACCTAAAAGGATATTGGCTCCATATGAGAAAGTCCCGGTTTCTCTCAAGACAAAAACTTGGACAATATCCTGGTATTTTTTCTGGAGTAAATATGCAGCGTTGACTTTTCTGAACTTGCTCCGTGACCTTCGTGACATTTACAGCTGAGACCCTCGGGCACGGTCTCTGCAACAGACCCTGCAAATGTTATCGTCACACCGCTACTGCTAGCATCCCGCTGTAGTCCACTTAACTCAGGTAAACTTAATTTTATTTTTTTTATTTGAATGTAGATTAGGTGTTTTAGTCACACTTTTGTGCCTGCAGAAATGATTTAAGTATGTATTTTTGTGCAGAAAAATTGTGTTTTTAGCTTAGCATAGCAATAATCAAATGAAATGGTTCCTTTGCATTCTTCTTTTGGTGCTAATTGCTAAAAATAAACTCACCTGTTACTTTAACCTTAAATCTCTGTTCCATTATATTCAATAGTTTTACATATGATCAAACACAAACAAAGAATATGGAAAGGAAAAAGAAAATAATTCCTCAAACTTGTGTGTATTTTGCAAAGGTTTAAAAAGTGTATAAACAGTGTCAGACGATGGGGCGATCGGCTGAGCATTACTGACCTCTAGTGGAGGCTTTTAGAACGACAGCTGTGGATAATGTAAACCAGTGTTTTAATCAGAGAAAAATGTATGGATTTTACTCATGCAGATTTTGAAAGACAATATAAAGGTAAAAGATTGAGTTTCTGTGTCAATTGGTGAGAAACAACCAAAAAAATAAACAGTAATAAGATCTTAAATATGAATAAAAATGCTGAATTGTATGTTTTAATTGTGCTTTTAGGGCTGAAAACAACCATGGTCTTTATAGTTGTGACCACACATTGAGGATCTATTGTGTCTTTAGAATTTTAGGATTTTTGGGGTCTGACCCCAAACCAGTGTGTTCTTCCACTTTTGCAGCAGCATCGGCACAATTTAAAACCAAGTATTATAAGATACTGTAGTTGCTGAAAGTGGAAAGGGTTTTGTGAAAAGGTGAAGAGAGACTTAAATCAGCTCAATAAGTCTGTGTTAAAAACTGAGCTGACAGATTTTGTTACTATAGATATTTGAGAGTTGAGTTTAATTACATAATACTGTATATATACAATACTGCTATTTGACCCACTGATCCATGAATGATACACAAAATAAAAATGTGAAAGTCATGAAGCCAAATATTTCAATAAACGTCTTTATTATTATAACAATACAACAATATATTTTTGATGCACATTTTACTGAACATCATCTCTTTTTGATGGAAAACTCTCGATCTCTTTGATGACACGGTTAGCGATATCAGCGTGGTTCGCACACAGCATCCTCCTGGACATGAGGTCGAACGGTCCGCCTGAAGAAAAGAATGTCAAAGTCACAGTTGCACATTACAGCAGAATAAAAGGAGAAAGTAAAGTTACGCACACATCAAACTGGATCAATTATTTAAGATCATAGAATAAAATACTACGATGATAAAACTCTGGAGCTATAATTGCACTTGAAGTTTACAGTGTGGTCAGCAGGAGGTGTTTCTATTGTACTGTAGCAGCAGAGAAGAAGACCAGAACAAACACTAGTAACAATAGCAGCAGGTAAAGAGACCTCTAAAGAAAGGACCTTTAATCGTATCTTTAATGAACTGTGAATTATCCGGTGTTATGGAAAGATGCTAACTGCTACGTGGCTAAACACTCAAATATGTGTTGTCTGTGTGATTTATTTAGAATTTTATATTTGAATACTTTTTTTTGAGCCATAAGGACTTAACACACAGCCAGCACAGTACCCACACGCCACGCTTGGTCATCAAATACACAGAAAGAAGACTTTTACGAAACCAAAAATCTTCAGGGAGAATGTGTACAATGTGTATTATTAGCTAAAAAAGGCGTCACTGACCGTTCACGTCCAAGACCACGCCCCCCGCCTCCTGCACGATGACCACCCCCGCCGCCACGTCCCAACAGTGGATCCCGATCTCGAAGAAGGCCTCCACCGCGCCACACGCCACCATGCACATGTTGGTGGCTGCTGTTCCCGTGCCGCGGATTCTGAAAACCACAACAACAACAAAACATGGATGAAGTACAACGGAAGAATCAGAGTCTGAGATTATATAAACCTTCATTCCTCACAAAGCCCTGTTTCCACCAGCCCAACTTGGCAGAGTAGAGTAGAGTAGAGTAGAGTAGAGTAGAGTAGGGTAGGGTAGGGTAGGGTAGGGTAGGGTAGGGTAGGGTAGGGTAGAGTAGAGTAGAGTAGAGTAGAGTAGAGTAGAGTAGAGTAGAGTAGAGTAGGGTAGGGTAGGGTAGGGTAGGGTAGGCACGGGGAGAACATGCAAACTCCACTCAGAAAGACCCTGTTCCGACCGGGATTCGACCCCAGGACGTTCTTGCAGAGAAGCGAGAGTACTATCCACTCAGCCATCGTGACAGAAGCATAAAGTGACAGAAGCATAAAGTGACAGTAGCATAAAGTGACGGTCATAAAGAGCAGGGGTCAGTGATGAGTTATGAAGTCTTCATGAGTGCGACTGCAGAGGGGAAAGAAACTGTTATTATGGCGGCAGGTTCTGGTCCAGGTAGACCGATCAAAATCCAGACTTTCTGATAGAGACCCAGATCGATACAAACACGTCGGACTCTGTACATTGCCGTAAAGTTGTGGAGAATCACATACATAATTAAACACGCCTCCCTCCACACATCCACATCCAAATATTATTCCACGGACCAAAAGCAGAGCATTATTTCTGGTCTTTACAGGGCACACATCTCTCCCAATTACAGCCGCGCCGCTTTTTAAGGCTTTGTACAAATCTTTGCGGAACGAAGCGGAGGCATAACGGCGAAGTGGACCTGCTCCGACAAACAAAGGCCTCGTCAGTTTTATGGTTCCTGACACTTTCACGGCTCTGCGTCTCTCTTTACGCTGCTCATTGTGCTCTCTGCTGCTGGAACAGTCTTTGAGAGGTCCCCCGGTGAGATGAGAGACGTCTGAGGGCCGGGTCTGACTTCGCTGGCTCCGGAAGAAGAAGAATGCGGAGATGATTGCGTCGGATTTGACTTTGTTTGATTTTCTTTTAGCTGCTTTCGTTTCTTAAAGGAGAAGTTGAGATGTTTTACCCACGTCATGAACATACGTAGGAGGAGGAGGATTACTGGGTTAGTCTGTGTTTACGTCTACGTTTAGTTTGTTTGAGCGTCAGGTTTCTCTCATCAATGCACAAAACAACAACAGGTTTAGTTTGTGTAAGCTCTCAGTCAGGGATTAATCCAAGCAAAGGAAGGTTTCTCACCCATCATCTGTACTTCTTAGCAGGTTTTCCCGGCGTGTCGTCCTTCATCTAAAGGACTTTTTCAAAGGAATGAATTGTATTGTATGAAGATTCTCAACTCAAGAATTCTTAATGTAGAGATTATAAATTTAAAGGATGGGACAAACTAGAATTGGCAGTCTCACCGGAGTTTTTTCAGAAAATTTGGACGTTCACTGAAACTGCCCAATTGAACCCACACAAGAAGGCCAAAGAAAGAAGGCGTCAGAAAGGCAAATTTATAAAGCTCCTAAACCAAAATTCTGTTAAACGTTCTAAAAGCGAAATTAGACAAGGTGTGGACAATGAGAATTGGGTCAAAAATCTATCTGATCGGCAATTATCACAAGCGGAAAAAGATGTTCTTACTAAAGGCCTAAATTTTGCGATAACCCCAAAAGATATTCCTACAATTGAATACGTCACAGCAGCAGAACCAGCCATTAGAAACAACAAACTCATTCCCTTGAAAAAGTCGATGAAGGACGAAAACGATGAAGGACAAAACGTTGGGAAAACCTGCTAAGCAACAACAGGTTTAGTGTTTTGGTTGGTAATTAGGGCTAAAAAGTTAATCAATTAATCGTAACTAATCATGGTACATTGTTCTTATACTGTGCTTTTTTGGACGCTCAAAGACGCTTTACGAAAGAACGAATAAGAAACTAAAATAAACAGTTATGTGTAGGCAGTGAGTCCGAGTGTCTGATGTGTGAGGTGCAAAATTCAGAGGTCTTCAGGGTTCAGAAGGCTCGGTCCTCAGGGTTCAGAAGGCCGGGTCTTCAGGGTTCAGACTCGGTCCTCAGGGTTCAGAAGGCTCGGTCCTCAGGGTTCAGACTCGGTCCTCAGGGTTCAAAAGGCTCGGTCCTCAGGGTTCAGAAGGCTCAGTCCTCAGGGTTCAGAAGGCTCAGTCCTCAGGGTTCAGACGGCTTGGTCCTCAGAGTTCAGAAGGCTCGGTCCTCAGGGTTCAGAAGGCTCAGTCCTCAGGGTTCAGAAGGCTCGGTCCTCAGGGTTCAGAAGGCTCAGTCCTCAAGGTTCAGACTCGGTCCTCAAGGTTCAGAAGGCTCGATCCTCAGGGTTCAGAAGGCTCGGTCCTCAGGGTTCAGAAGGCTCGATCCTCAGGGTTCAGAAGGCTCGGTCCTCAAGGTTCAGACTCGGTCCTCAGGGTTCAGAAGGCTCGGTCCTCAGGGTTCAGAAGGCTCGGTTCTCAGGCGATGGGAGGGACGGTGCTGATGGAGGAGGTCAGTGAGATATGCAGTCAATGAGGAGGACTTTATTTTGTGTGCGGTATAGGACAGGGAGCCAGTGGAGTTGTTTGAGGACGGGAGTGATGTGGTCTCTGGAGTGAGTGTGGGTGAGCAGGACAGGCGGCCAAGTTTCACACCTATTCGATTGACATTGGATGAGAATAATCCAGATTTCTCTCCAACCTGGTAACTTTTTGTCCGTGAGTGGGCTTGTATCTACACAAACCTGACCCATACTTAACTTATAACAATCTCCCTGGACCATATTACAGAAGATGGTTTCGGTTTACAACTTTCTTTTTCGTGAAACCATATAGTTGTCGTGGCACCGGTCTACTTAATTCCTCTAATCCATCCAAACGTTAATGTTTTGATCAGAATGAGCCCCAGTTTGTGGTGACTTTACTTCACAAGTGTCATATCTGTTGATAATTGATTCAATTTAAGAATTCCAGTTTTTGAAGAGTAAAAATATCTGTAATTAGTGCTAAGAAGCGTTTATGTACTAACATGTAAACAGACCAAAATGACATGTACTTGCAAGCGTGTATACATGCACTAGCTATGCATTAGTCATTACTTGCTCGGGAATTGACCAATTGATAGGAATGCAACCCTTAGATCCTGAATTACTGCCTTTATGTTCATTCAAAATCTATGGACTGTGTGTGTTTGTGTATTTCTGTGTTCTGTGCATAAGAACAGAAAGCATCCAGCACTAAAGGGAGCAGAAACTCTCACATATGCTACACCATATCAGTCATTTGTTAAAGTTTAAGACATTGCTTTTTGTTGTAGCCGTTTTGGTCTGGGGTGCATTAGTCAGACTGTAGAGTGAGGCAGAGCAGTTCCAGGGCTCGTCAGGACAGGCCGCCGCCGCCGCTGCCGTCGTTGCCACACCTCATGTTGAAATAACCTGTTTCTGTAAATCTGCCAAACGTAAAACATTCAGTACGCACTCAGCAGTCATTGTGGGTTTTGATAGAGATCTGTGGTGACGTTGCTACGGTGACAGATGAATAATGCGTTGTATGCTGTATATGATGAAAGGGGCTGCATAATTCCATTGCATTAATAACATGATGTATTATTGTAATTATCTTAATGTTTCTCTGCTGAACTTCTCCGGTTTGTGCTGTTGCTTTGCTCTGGAAGGCTCATCAGTCTGAAAGCCAAGTGCCCCTTCTGTCATTTAGTCAATTCTAACTGCAAATAAATGCCTGAAAAGAAGAAATATACATGTTTTTGTCTTCATTTATGATGCCACAGATCTGACAGACATAATATAGAGTTTTCTGTAAGGACGGGGGCAAGAGCAGTCCTCAAGTTAACAAAGATGAAGCTACAAAGAACCTCGGATGTGTTTTTGATGAGAGCTCGTTGATCTATTGTCTGAGAGTTAAAATGACAGGCAAGAGTTGAAATGCAGGAGAGGTTTATTGTTCCATCAGCGGTGCGGGTCCAAAATGACAGCACTCCAGTCCCTATGGTCAGAACTGGGCCTGGTCAAAGCCATAGACCAGGGGTGTCATTCATACGGCCCGCGGGCCGGAACCGGCCCGCCAAGAGATTTGACACGGCCCGTGGCTCATTTATGTAAAAATATAATAAAAATACATTTTAAAAAGCCGCTCCGCGACGCGAGGCCGCAGCGCCGCAGCGCCGCGCTCAGGGGTGAGTCCAGTGCGTCTGTAGTGGCTCCACCAGAGCGGTGCTGAAGGAATAACATCTTAAACTACAAGACTCGGCGAAAAATACGGCACTTTGAGCGGAGAATTGAGAAAACAGAAGATAAACCTGTCTGGCCCTGAAGACACAGCAGTCTGTTTGTGCCCAGAGCGAGAGGTTAGTTCTGCTGCTGCTGTGAAGGGAAGCTACCTGTGCTAACAACATTAGCATTAGCATCGCAGCCGCACAGTGAGAGAGAGTTTGTTAAAACTCTCACAGGCTGCAGACATGGTCTGAGAAACCACACGCTTTTACCAACATGTTGCCATTGATAAGAGACTGATGTTACTGATGTCACATATTCATTTGTGGTGTTACTGAAACTATCAGAGGAGTTTTGAGCGCTGCTGCTGGTTCTGCTGTTGTTGCTGCTGCTGGTTCTGCTGTTGTTGCTGCTGCTGGTTCTGCTGTTGTTGCTGCTGCTGGTTCTGCTGTTGTTGCTGGTGTGTTGGACAGTGTGGACGGGTACCGATGGTAAAAACAGGTGTAGTGACAAAGCTGCAAATGGAGGTGATGATTTTTGGACATTTGACTGTATTTTACACAGAGACACTGCTGCAGTCGTTAAGAATGGATCACGTTATGGAAGTTGTTTTATTCATTTCAACGGAATCATGGTCAGTTTGATGCTTTCTCTGTGATAATAACATAACCATGGACCTTACCATACATGGGCGGCACGGTGGCTGAGTGGATAGCACTCTCGCCTCTCAGCAAGAAGGTCCTGGGTTCGAATCCCGGCCGGACCAGGGCCTTTCTG